GGCCCCAAGGGCCTAGAGCAGAGTTAACCAGCATAGCTTCAGTCCACTTAGGACATTTGGTCTTCTGGTGTCACATCCAACTTCTCACTTCTTCTACTCACTTCAGCTCATCATTGCCGGAACAAGCCTTGTGAACGCTGTGTTTTGTGCTGTGGGGGTATAGAGATGAGGAAGAAATGAGGAGGCAGTATGGTGTGGTGGGGAAAAACAGGCCTTCCACTTCACTGGGGTCTTGTGAAGAACAAAATGAGATAATGTACGTATAGCTCTTAGTGCAGCCCTTACGTTATTTATAGGGGCAGGTGGGAATAATACACATGATTGATCGATAAACTCTAACTTTCATTACATAGGATTCCTTCAAGCCTTGGAGTTTATATTGGTGTAGCATCTGCTGTACTAAATCATATATATAGCTACAGTTCAAGGCTACATTTGAGAAACACTATAATAGAGTTAAAATTATCATGGAAGCACAAAGAAGGCAGGAAGGCCAAGAAATGCTTCATGTAGGAAGTGGCATTTAATAGAACTCTGAAACCTTCTCACACAGTTGACATACCTAACTAGAAGGCTGTGGTGGTTAAAGGCTTAATTAACTATCACCTGCTCCAAGAATCCTTCTCTGACCAGCCTATTAAAATTAGGTCTGTTCTGTTATTCTCTGTTAGAATAAAACCTGCTCCATGACAGTTTCTAAGCATTTATTTGTGTGTGTGCTTGTTTGCTGTCTGTTTCTTTCACTAGACTGTAAGCACTGTGAGGGCAGTGACCATGTCTAGCTTATTCACTGTCATATGTCTAGCATTTACGCTATGATAGGCACTCAAGAAATGCTTGTTAAATGAATGAAGGAATGAATATAACCACGAAGTATCATTTCTCTGTACACCCAGTAGCTCTGGGTAGTTGTTATACAAAATGGTGACGCTGTGGCAAAAGCACCTGAAAGTAATCAAAGGAAGCAACTTGGTTGCATTTGAACTTGCTGTCATTGTTCTGAGCTCTTTGGTTTCAGTGAAGGATATCCTCTTCCCTTCCTTTATCTTTTTTATAGTGCCCTTATCATTCAGACCGGATGAATGCACAAAACATTAAATGGCCTGTAGAGTGTATTTTTAAGACGATGATAAAAAGTCTCTAGAAGTCCTTTTATGGTGAAATCAGGACTGAAAACTTGATTTTAGAATTCCTCAGGAGGAAAATGCTCAGACAGTTACTTTCTTTAGTTGCTTCCTTTTATGGATGCTAATCATGTGGAAGTTTCATAAAGTTTAATTTTTCAGAGTGCTAAGAGTTTTTAAAAAAATGTATGATTCATTGTAATAAAAACAATTCATTTTAAACAATCTCTAAGAAGAGAATGTTGTGGGTTTTCAGTTTCAGTGGTTCTCACACTGTGGTTCACAGAAGATCCTCCGTGGAGGAAGAGGAGGAGGTGTTTTCTTGGCATTATGTTGTCATATCGTGCTCATATGTACTATTTTTTTATTAAAAAGTATAGTTTTTATTAATTCATCGGAGGCAGAAAAATTTCCCCATGAAGTCTGGTGAGGATATTTTTGTAGTTGTTTCAGCCAGGGGAGGATTATCCAGTAAGCAAGGTAAGCACCGGTTTACTTGTGCTTATTTACTAATCTGTAGTGACCAATTTCACATGGGTTTCAATGTGGTGAAAATAATCTGTCCTTGTCAGGGGTTGTAAATTTGAAAAGAGGCGTTGATTCTGTAGGAAGGTACTGTGGGATTGGGAAAGAGACAGATTCCAGCCACACCTAGAAGCAGAATCTTTGCTGTGGTGAAAAAATGTGAAATTGGTCACTGCAGATGACCTGGGTAAGCACCATGCTTACCTTGCCTATTGGATAATCCACCCCTGGTTTCAGTAGCAACCGATGAGGATTGTGGCCCCTGATGTCTTTTGTCTCAGATTTGTACAGGGAAAATCTCAAAATTTGAGAAC